TCTACAAAGTTTGGACTTATCGAGCTGTGTCTGGCTCAGGTCTGGCTGCTGTGCTCAGCTCCTTCCCGCTGCGGACCTGGGCTAGGACTGGGTCTGGGGGTTCCTGGAAGTCGGCCTATAGTTATGTAAAATTAAAAAAAAATTATAAATAGTAAACATTCCCTGAATAGAGCAATGTTATCCTCAAGCTAAATAAATAAATAAATAAATAAATAACAGGGCAAAGAAGAAAAAAAGAGAAATAAAAGAAGAGAAAGTCATTAGAAGCAAGGCTGAAGGATGAAGGAAGATTTCCCAAACTTTGGGAAATGGATGAAGAGGCAGGAGAGAAAGAGGAAGAAACAAAAACAAGAACAAAATAAAGCAATAATGCTAAAAACATTGTTCACACTGATGAAAAAACGGAAATGAACAATCAAAAAAAAACCCAAAGAAACAATAGTGTCTGCTTCAGGAGAGTCTCTGCTGGCACTGGTAGACAAAGGAGGCAGACGGTGCCCATATCCATGTTGGATGATCCCAGCTGACCAGAAACAGAGCTAGGGTGGGGTGCCTGGTAATCACAGCAAGCCTGTGCTTTCAGCTCCACTGAAGTTTAGGCTGACCCTGGCTTCTGGCTGTGAGGCTGGGACCTGAGTTTTTCAGCCAGCAACACTCTGGGTATATTTTGCTAGCTTGAACTTGGCTGCTGGACTCTGCTGGACCCAGCGCTGTGCCTCACCCAGACACAGGGAGCCCTGAAATGGAGCCAACCCATGGGTGCTCTGAGTCCTGCATTCAACTAGCCCCTCCCCAAAATCTCACTGGGTCACTTTCCCTCTCCTAGGGACATTTGGAGTGGAATCACTCACCAGCCACTGCAACCCACACCCTCTGCTGCTCTGTTCCATTAGTGCATTTCTTTATGGTGGTGTCCAGAGTCACCTGGAGTCACTGTGCTTTTGTAGGCTAAAGCTGCCTCTCTCTGGCCATGAGTCAGAAGTCAGGGAGAAAGTACCACTTATCACCTCCCTCTTCTGCAAGGGGATCCCTGTCTTCCTTCCCCCCAAGGGCTCCATTTTTCTCTTCAGATTTTCCCTGTGTCCTGGGATCAGATCCACCTCTCTTCTTCTCTTCCCCAGTTGCTATACTTCAGTGTCTGGACTCTGAATCTTGGAGAGGCTGACTGACCACTGCTCCCCACTCTGCCATTTTCCTAGAAGTCCCATGAAGTTTTTGATCACAGTAATGCTGTCATAGTACTGTGCAGTATAGCCTAGAGTCAAAAAGCCATTAGGAAACTTGACACTGTTCAAAATAGAAATATTAGGAAGGATAAAATCTGACAATTCAAAGAAGAGTCTGAATAAAGCATAACAGCTGTAGAAACAATGGTGAATTCAGAGAGGGAAAGCAAAGACCAAAGCTGTCCTCTCCAGGAATAGCCTGGATTTTTCCCTCCAGGTACTTCCTTCACCACCAGGCTGCAGCGACTTTAGTGGTAACACAATGACCTTGATGCATCCTGGGCCGACTGACATATGCCAGCTTGCAGACATAAGTTTTGTTTTTTTAAAACAATTTATAATTTTCTCATAGATAATGAATTAAGAATTTATGTTGTTATAAAAACAATAAGTTGCAGAATAAATATATGGAATCCTAGGCTGTTTTATTCCAAAGTATCTGTAGTGGATTCCTCGCTTTTTTCTTTCTTTTTTTTTTTAATAATTTTATTGAGAAACAAATATCAATGAGACAGTTTCACAACCGATTACTGGCATACTTACAGTAATTAATACATTGCATATTGTTGTCTTAGTGGTTATTCATTGTACAAGATGCAGACATAATATCCTGTCTCAAACACTATTAGAACAAATCTCTCTATTCATTGAATTAGAGAGTGCAGCTGTATATCTATCCTAACTATTTTGAGTATACAGATGCAAAAAGGTCGCTCATTTCTATCCCACTTTTTAGGTTAGTTTTGTCAGAGAAGAACATTCCATTGTCATTTAAATACCATAGGTGCTTGAATTCAGCAGAATCTCCCAATACAGTCCAGTAGTCCATAATAGTAGTGGGTTTTCCTTAAGACTGGCAATGTCCAAAGTTGTTGACTTGAGTTTTTTACAGCTCAGCATATTAATGTGGCTTTACTTTTTATACTTCATTTTCATACTTTTCTGCTGGATGGTTAAGACCAAGATAAAGCAAGACCTATATAACAAGAACTGTAACTTTTGTATCTGATAAGGTCATTCAAGTCCCCTCAAGATTTAACCTTGGATTTCTAGCTGATGGTTAATTTGTTACACCCAGGTGACATGAACCAGTGTGGTGCTGGGTGTGGGAGGTCCATCTGAGAATTGTTGCCAGCAGCGTAGGAGGCAGAACTGGAGAAGAGGAAGAGAAGGGAAGTTTTTGGAGATGTTAGTTTTCCTAGTGCTGCTGTTAGTTCTCTCAGAGGACCGTGTCCCGCTGGCTTTTTTGTCTTGTTTTGTTTTTGGTCTTTTTGAGACAGTGTCTGGCTGTACAGTTTAGGCTGGCTTTGAGCTTACTTAGTTGGTCTTGAACATGCAATGATCCTCCTGCTTTAGCCTCCCAAGTGCTGGGATTACAGGCATGTACCATCACGCCTGGCCTTTGGCTTTTCTGATGAACTCAGGTGTTCTCATCCTCCAAGGAACTCAGGACCTTACTATCTTTGAGAATGGCTATACTTCACTTTTGGGGAGCTCTGGTCCTCACTTTGAGCATTGCTTTCTGGAGGTTCTGGAGGGGAAGATGGTGCACAGCTCAGTCTTATAGAGAAGCTTCTCGTATTGGCTTTACTGATTGTAACTCAGCTTTCCTCAATGCTGGAGGAGCTCGGGACCTCACTGCTGCTGAGGATGGCTGTGGTATTTTTAGGGGGAGCTCTGGCTCTTAGCTTGAGTGTTGCTTCCTGGCTCCAGTTCAGATCCCTCATCCTACTGGCTGTTATGGCTTGTGTTTAGTTGTCCCCCCAGAACTGCATGCAGTCATGGGGTGGCTTCTGGAGTTTGTGATTCATTTTTTTTCCCCTCCCGCGGAACCAGGGATTGAACTCAGGCCCTGATGCTTGCCAGGGAAGTGCTTATTCCACTGAGCCATCTCCCTGACCCTTGTGATTCATCCTTGATCTAGTGTTGGGATTTTGAGTGCTACACCCTGTCCCTGGGGTGGGTAATCTGCATTACAATGTGAGGAAGGGAGAGAGGTTTGCTAGCTGCCAAACTGCTGCCCCTCCCTTTGCTTTCTGTTCTTTGCTGTTGCCATGAATGGCTGCCCTGTGCCATGTGCCACTCTGCCTTGGAGCCAGCTGAGTAGGGACTAAAACCTCCACTAACTGAGCTAAATAAACCTTTCCTTTTCTTTCTTTCTTTCTTTCTTTCTTTCTTTCTTTCTTTCTTTCTTTTTTTTTTTTTTTGTATTTTTTAGGGAAGGGTCTGCAGGGTGTTGAGGGTCTCACTATTAGATCAGGCTCATAGTGATCCGCCTGTTTACAGCCTCCCAAATGCTGGGATTACAGGTGTGCGCCACGACTCCTAGTCTCAATTGCTGTCTCAGCATGCCCCGGGGGTGGGGCTAGCAGGGCAGTCTTGGGAATCAAACCCCCAGGCTCTGCTCCTGCTTATAGGTGCTTTAATCCACTAAACTATTTGGCCAGCTTTTCCTTCCTTCATTTTGGATATCTGGTATTTTTGTCCCAGCAAGAGAGAACAGTAACTGAGACACTGGCACAGATCACTTACCCTGCTGACACAGATTCCTCATTCCACTGGTACAGAATGTCTAGCTCCACCACTGACCTTTGGGCCTTCCAGGCACAGATCCATGAAACACACCTGCAAGAGTCATGGGCTCCAGGACTCCAGTTGGACTTGTGGAAGGCATGGCTATGGGCTGTAGGTCTTCAGCTGGACTCATGCAGGACATTACCATGGGATTGAGGCCCTCCACTGAAGTCTTTGGTCTTCAGCCCATGGAGAGATTTCCTGCAGTCTTTGTACATGATCTTTTCAGTGATTCATTATAAAATGATCTTATAAAGTATGTGTCCTATATTGTATTGTTTCCCCTTGCAAAACCCCAAACTACAACATTGTTTCACTTCTACTTCATCTATTTGTCAATTTGTTTATTCAACTAGTAATTAAAAATGTATAATGTTTCACCACTGTTCTAGGAACTGTAATATACAATAAATATACTTAATCTTGTCTTTAACCTCAAAGTGTTCGAGATTTAAAGATTTGACTGTGACAGGATCATTGCTTCCAGGAAAACCTGCAAAACTTGGTAAGGGGCTAGGGACACATCTCATGGGGATATATCTCAGCAGCATAAGCTCTGGGTGGCAAGCGCAAGGTCCTGAGTTTGATTCCCAGTACAAAAAAAAAAAAAAAAAAAAACTTGGCAAGAATGTAGCAGAAGAAATGCCAGAGTGTATCCAAGATAGTCAGAAAAAGCTTAACAAGGAAGAGATAGTTGGCTCCTCCAGAGGCTTGAGGCTTGAAAAATGAGTGAGTTAGACAGAAGTGGGTGAGATTCCTTCCATGAGGAGAGAAAGATGAGGATGCATTGGGAGAAATGAGAGAGGTAGACAAGCCTGGGGAAGCACAGAATCTGGAGGTGGTCAAAGGTCACCCAGGTGCCTCCAGCCCCAGGCTGCCAGCTGGGGTTGAAACATCAAAAGCATGAAAGCACACTGCAAGAGTGAACCCTTTCTCCATGCCTCCCTGCTTTGAAGTTCTGTTATTCCACGGTGAACAGATGTGCTCAACTCTTTTCATACCAGTAAGCGAGCACCCATTGAGGACACATTCCGTACAACATTTTCACTTTAAAGAAAGTCTTCAGGTAACGTCTTTCTCCTTGAAGTAATGATTGGCAGCTCCTGATTCCACCACATGGTAAATGCCCTAGGGCATTTCTCTCTGATGCTCCAGACAGGAATCTTTTCCAATTTTTCTTTCTCTGAGGCATCAGCAAAACTCCTCACTACATCCTAGCAGCATCTAAGAACTGTGAGGTCACCATATTTAATTGTGCTGAGTCTTGCTGCCAACAAACTCTGCCTGTGCCTCTTAATCCTGACACCTAAGTCCCCAGTCATGATGTGGGGCTTGTGGCATTCTTGTAGGCTCTCAGTCACACTGTGCTACTTTCTCCCCTATTCCTGACTGCTGCTTCCACCTTCCCCATATCTGCCCCATCACTTCAATCAGGTGTAGCCTGGCCTTCCCTCTCTCTCCTTAATAGAAACCTGGCCAAACACTGAGAACTCCCCTGCCTCTTTCTCAAGTAGAGTCCTTTTTCCTTTTTTGCCCTACCCATCATTGAGACCTCAGCTCCCACAGCAGTCTTCCTTCCTAATCACTCTGCTCTTGTTGTGCCCAAATGACTCATCTGAAGTCTGAGTCATGCTCACCACAGTTGACATCTTCTGACTCTTCTGCTCTCTCTTCCCCATTCACTGAAAACTTTGGCATCTTATTCATAGTTCTCTCTTTTACCCACATGATTCTGAGAACTTTACTATTCATGTGAAGGCTCATGCAACCTTATAGTCTGGGCATCATGACTTTACCTTTCCTTCACTTATGTTTCAATTTCTAGTACCACACTTCGGGCCTTGGCATTGTCCAGCCATCTTCAGTCTGATGTCCTGTACTTGATTGCCCTTATTTTGACCATGACCCTCTAGCATCTTGCTTTACTCATTTTCTTATGAGGCTCACAGAAATCCCCTAGACCTCTGAACTCTATTTTTCTCTCAGTAATTCCTCCACCATGGCTCCACTTTTATATATATATATATATAT